GTCTTCAACTTTGAATCATATATTCACAATCCTTCAGTGACTGATGATGATGTGCTTCTGGTTTTTAAAGTGTTTGTTGATTCCATTATTGCTGTCACTAGAGGATCTATGTGTATTACCTGACTTTTCCCCAGTCCTAGGTCACACGGGCTGGTTCCTCTTACTGAAGGCATTCTCGTACTGTGTACATAGCATGTTTTACCTTGCTGCAGGGCAGCCTTTGCTCTCTTCTTTCAGATGTATTCTGTCAAGTTAGTACACAGCAGTTTTAAGGGTTATTAATATTAAAAGATAAATAGGAGTAAATAAAAATTATACTACTACATTGCTATCTGTGGTAGGCCAGGGTGACTAAAGACAAATCCAGTGACACTCAGATATGTGTCAGTAATTATGCATCAAGGAAATATTCCAGCCAACTGAAGTCCGTAAGTCCAAGACTGGTCCACAAATCCCTCTTCAGCCTCATGCAGACACAAGCAATGATGCAGAATGCAGGAATGTTGCAGGTGGGCAGATACAAGTCATGTGGATCCAGTGGCAGTGGTAACATCACAGGGTTCTGGTAGCAATCAGGAGGGTCAGCCAGCAAGAAAGTGAAAGTCAAGAGAGAAGGGGAGATTCCTAGGTCCTTCCTCCTGAGAAGGCCGGGCCATGAGTAGGCACCATCAGGCTGTACTCTGGCTGACAGGTTGAATACCACCCCTACACCTTTATATCACTCCTCCAGTTGCCATGAAATCATGTAATTACCACACTATTCTTTCTCTCATCTTCACAAGTGTCAAAGTTATTATTGGATAATGACATTTTAGCTATATTATCAAGAACAAGTCATAGAAAATTCTGTTTTAATCCTATCCATACTTTATCTTTAAATAAGAAAGTAATTGAATCTCAATTTTTTTTAGTTGAACCACTTTATCAAATTAGGTACAATTTTTTCAGTCATTCTTATAACCAGGTTAAAATAAAGAAATCTCTAATGCTTTATAATAATTAAATAGTTTGTCTTCTTTTCACTAATATTCAATAGCACATTGGCCCTTCAGTCCAGTACCAAGGGTCACCAGAAATTTGCTTGAACACTGTAGATCAGGTCTCAAAATTAATCATTTGAAAGGTTTGGCACACCTTATACTAATTATTACATTAATCATATTGCCAACTATGTATTATGTTAAGACATGAAGTATGTGCCTACCAACTCTTGCATTTTTATCATCCTTGTATTAAAATTTCTACAACTCTAATTTGGGTAAATCTGTGAGTGAGATTGCAGAACCATGGAACACTTATTGACAGTATGCTGAAAAACAGAAATTATGTACATTTTTCTGCATAGCTAATAAGTATTTTTAGGTTATTCACACATTCTCTGGTGTTATGAAATGAAATCCAGCAGGTGTCAAGCATAAAGCTTGCTTTACTATTGCTTTTGTTAAATTTGTAGAAGTATTGAGCTATTTATCAATGAATTTCTCACTAGCTTTTTTGGTGCCCTGTGCAATATGAAATCGATGCATTTGAAGTATGATGCTTGTGAGGATAGTGAAAGCCTGCTAAAAAAACATACCAAACTGTCTTGGAAGAAGTTTGACCTGGGGTGTTCCTTGGAGGCAAGGATGGTGAGGCTTCATCTTACATGCTTTCGACATGTTGTCAGGAGAGACCAGTCCCCAGAGAAGGACACCAGGCTGAGTACAGTAGAGGGGCAGCAAAAGACAAGAAATAACCTCACCAAGGAGACTGACACGGTAATCTTGGGCTGCAACATAGAGATCAAACATAGGAACAATTTTGAGGCTGGCGCGAGACTTGGCAGGGTTTGTCCTGTTGTGCATGGGGGCGCTATGACCTCAAACCAACTCGAGAGCGCCTAACGACAGCGTGGGACATGAAGGGAAAAAATCAAACTCTGGAATTGTGGAGTTAATGTTATTTGGATGGTTTCCATTGTGTGATTTTTCTCTTCATTTGCTCTTTAATTCTAATTTTCTGTATGGAATACCATTTAGGAACCCTTTCTCTTACTTTATTCTCATGATTATGAAGACATTTTAGATGTCTTCCGTTTATTGTGGCAGGAAATGCATATTACTTTAGAAGGAATGGAAAATAGACTTTGTCTCTCAGAGCAGGTGTAATACAGTTTTAAAGATCCTAACATCATTAATCATGTTTTTATAGATAAATATGGGTTCTGTAGAATGAAAACTTAATTTTGTACTAACTCAATTGTCAAAATGAATTTGTGTTTTTAAAAATTCCTATCAATATTAGGAATTTTTGTTCAACTAATTATAGTTTCCTTATAGATGAAAATTGAATTATTCATAGGTATTTAATTTTCTGTCAGAGGGAACTTTTATCAATGACCCCAGATCACTCAAGATTGTTTATAATCAGGAATAAAATTGAGCTTTATGTTAACTAAGCAAACATATAGGTAGTCATCACTATCAGAGTTGAGAATTCAATCATAATACATGATTTATTCATTACTTTATCCCTGTGAAATGTATCTACTATTGTTAACAACACTTACATGTTCACTACACAAATTAATGTCCCTTTCTATAACACTCCTTCCTACATGTCTTCATCAATCAAGTTATTTTTCTAATCGCTATAATTTGCCATTATTATTTTCCTCCTCGGGAAGAAGAATTTTTAAAAAGAGTAAACTAACTAAAGCCTAATCAAAGCTTAGGCAAAGCAGGTGCATCTTATTTCTAAATATAAACTTGATCGCTTAGATGATTTCTGCAAGATTTATATAACATAAACTATTCTTCACTAAACAACAATCTCTTTGAGAGCATTTTAACAGCTGTATATATAATGGTTTTCAAAAACTGGAAAAGTGAACCCACTAATCATCCTTCAAGCTAAGTATATAAATTGTTCTTCAGATACCACATTAGCTGACAACTCGTGAAGACCTAAGGACTTGTAATTCAATTCATGTTCCTTGGGTTGTTTTAAGGGAAGAAGATTAGAATTTTAAAAAGATGTAAGACACAAGTAGGTCACAGAGGAAATAAGTGTGGTGCAGGATTGAATATGAACGATGAAACAAATCCAAAGAAAACCAAAACATTCATAGGCTATAAATTAATACCATTCAACTGGTATGCTCTCGAGATTGGGGTTAAGGAAAGAAGCTTCTGAGCAGAGGGGATCTTGTGTTGCACTGTTCTTTGTGGTCTCACTAGCGAGGGTGTCCTGGTCTAGTTGGAGTGGTGACCTGACCCAACCTTCTTTTCTTTCAGTTTCCCTTGAATCCATCTCCCACTGGCAATCCAATTTGTCACACAGACGACAAATACGTTGGCTCCACACCTCTCTCCGCTTCTAGGATCTTGATGAAATGCCTGGCAGCTTTTCGTTAGATAAAACCAGCTAGTGCAGAACGTGACCCACAGTATTTTCAACACCAGGACCCCAAACTACCAAGCTTGCTCACTGTTTTACTGATGCACATTGTCATATACCATTCTTCAATGAGCCAGGGTTTTTTGCAAAACAAATCCTCCCCAATGTACACTCAAATACTGATAAATGCACATCTCTTGCATTTGAGTAAGTACACAGGGCCCCAGCCAGACTAACCTGCATCTGAGCATGTGACCGAGCTCCCAAGGAGGAGCTAGAGTCTGCGAGCTGGGAATGAACAGGGACCATTGAGCTGGGAATGAACAGGGACCATCGCACCGAAACGCAGACCTAGCCAACTGCTTCTTTGTTCCCAGGCAAGGAAGGTGACAGGTCTTGACAGCAGGAGGGGAATCTTTAGAAGTAGGCTTGATTCTTGCTCTTCTAGCAGAGGAGTTCCTTGGTGAAGCTCTCCTGGACTCCTAGTGAACTCTTGGCCAGGGTCCCCCACCCTCACCCCCTGGGGTAGCCCCCCTACACACACACACACACACACACACACACACACACACACAGCCTTAGTGAGTTAACGATGGTAGCCTTTCTCCAATCCCCGCGCTTTCTGTTTCTTTCTTTGCTCACTCCCCCCAATATCAGGAGTACAGGCACAAGAAAGTTTCACACAAAAGGAGCCCCGCGTTGACGTAGGCATCGCCTGCCCTCTCAGTTGGATACCAGCCCAGAAGGGAGCCAGTGCAGAGGTAGGGAGCGCTGGGATCCCTGTGGCTAGGGTCCCGGGCGGGGCCGGCAAAAGGCAGCCAAGAGTATTGGTTCTAGACCACAAATTCATCAGGCTTTTCCCTCCTCCGTCAACCACTTAAACCCCAATGAGGTCACTGCAATGAGAGAGAATCGGATCCAGAGAGGGGGGAGTGGAAGAGGACGACGACAGGGGAGAAGAAACCCAGACGCAAAGAGGCCATCAGACAAGGTCGCCTTTTCTGGCGACACAGCAACTGCTGGGAGCATGGTACTGAATGCCGTCCGCAGGCTCTGCCCAGGGGCCGGAGAGACTCGCGGAAACACTTGGTGTTAGCCCGAAAACAAAGGAGAGGAGGCGAGGGGGAGCCCGAGAGGGGACCTGTGAGCAGTCGCTCTTGGATCCCCGGGAAGCCAAGCCCACCTCCTTCCTTGGCCAGGAAAGAGCACCGTGGAACCTGAGAAGGTCTGGGAGGCAGAGGCGCCCGCGGTGCTTCCCTGCGGAGCCTCGCGACGCGGCAGAACTCTGGACAGCTCCCGGGGAGCCGCCGGCTCTGGGCTGGTTCCTGCAAACCCTGCGCTGTGTGTCGTGGGCGCTCTTCTTCCCTGGAGCACCGGACCCGGGCCAATCCGTCTACCAGCCCAGTCTAATCGTGCCGCGACTGGAACAAGCCCTTTGCCTCCGGCGCAGCCAGGCGGAGAGTCTCTGATTCCGGTTTTATTTCTTCCTTGTTGGATACTGCTTCGCTGGTGAAGAAAAAGTTTTGGGGTCTGGTAGGGGGCAGAAGGGGGCCGGAGGCTAGTGGAAGAAAGAAGGTGGAAGGTTGGTTTCCCTGCCTGATCTGGAAGGGATGATGACCGAGGGAGGATGTGCACCAGCGGCCAGATTATTGGAAGCCTCTTGGTGCTGTCCGTGCTGGAGATAGGGCTGGGGTTGTCCAGCGTGGCCGTGGGAGCGGTCAGCTTCAGCCTGGCTCTCCGACAGCACAAGCCGCAGCTCGGAGACTCGTCCCCGGTATGGAGCGGGGTGTGTGTACGTTGAGCCATTTCACTCTCTCTTTGCCTCTTTACGGTGACAGTCAGTGTGTGTGCCCTGGTCCCTCCCTCCCTGGGGAAGAAATTCAAAAAACGATCGCAGGCTTACCTGTAGGTTTGTGTTGGCAAGCGATGCCTCCTGAGGTAGTCCTTTTCTTTAGAACTTGTCTATTTATTTATTTATTATGAATGACCTGGGCTTAAGACTGAATTACATGGCTCGGTTTAAAGTTGGGGGTTCAAGGGCAGGCAGTTCCCCCTGGCTGGTTTTGTAGAGGATTGCCCAGTGGTGCTGCTGAGGGGCTCCAGCCTAGGGAGAGCACACTCCCTCAGTCTCTTGTTTCTGTGAAAAGGAGAATGTTCCATTTCCTTGTGCCAGGAATGAGCAGTGGTAGATTTTATGGATTTTTCTCAGGCCAGGAGTACCCAAGGTATACCAAAGGCTCCATTGATGTTCCTAAAATAGCAACGGGGGGTGAGTGTGGATGCCAGGATTGGAACCGCTGCTCTTCATTCTTTCTTACTAGTTTCATGACACTTCACGTCTGGAAAATCTTTTGTAAGTGATAGGCAGCGAGTTCCCCCTCCGTATGGTAGGCAGCTGCATTCTGATGGAGGGTAGTCAGCCTAAAGAGAACCCAGCCTTGCTCAGAGAGCACTTCTGATTTTCTTTAGGTCATATAGCAGACCCATCATGCTTTATTAACTTGAGGTAAATTTAGGAAGTCTTAGAGGCCCACTTTTTCCACTATCAATCAATAATATAACCCAGTGTGGGCCTAATTGTGATAAACAAGGTTTCTTCTCCTTCCAATCAGAGGTTCCATATCCTTCAGGGTCTCCAGCTTAATTCTTTCAAGCTGACTTACTAGGAAGATATCCCATATTGCTGACAATCCATAGGTGTGGCTAATAATCATGATTTCCTGACTTGATCTTTAAGTGACTGAGATACATTGTTTACTTAGAACTTCAAGAAAAATTCCAAAGTGACTAATTTTGGAGGATGCACTAGCATTCTTAAAATTAATAGTATTATGTTTTAGAGAAATCGTGTTTTGGTTTTATTGTTCAAAGTTTGGTGAGGTTTTGAATTTTCAGAAATATACAGAGAGAAAAAAGAAAAAGGAAAATGGTGTTTAATTCTAACCTGAAAACAGTGGAAGAATATTTATTCTAAATCCAATAATAAGTTATTACTAACCTCCCCCAAGTTATCATTTTCCTTATCAAGCAGTTCTTATCAATACAAACATTACATTTCAATGTTAATGATAAAAGGAAAATGTTTATCTGGTAATGGTATATCTTATATGCGGTAATGATTTTGTTGATAGATAGTTTGATTATTGATGTTGTTAGTGTTATTGTTCTTGAAATGGAAAATTAAGGTAAAATTTCTATTGGGCAACTATCAAAATTAGATTTAATATCAATGTTTAGATAATAGGAGAGAGAAACTTCAAATATTTCTCAAATCATTCTACCTTTGAAATTCAATAATTGAGTGAGTAACTAAGATAGTCTCTAAATAATGTTACACTGTCCAGTTTACAAAAGTTGCATTAGTTTAGCATTTTGTAAAGGAAACATAAATAATGCCTTTTTACTCCAAGATGAGTTAATATAAAGATTAGTTTCCAAATGTGTATACATAGAAAAACATGTAAACAACTCTGTGGAAAGGAAATAAATCAGTCATAACTTCATAGTTGTTATCAAATCGAATTATTTTTATGTTTTACTAATTAACATACCCCAAAATTCATGTGGGTCGTGCAACAATCGTTGGAATCCCATTGTCTTTCCAGTAAAGTGAAATAACGCATTTGACTGAGTGAATGGAGTTCTTAAACAGTTGATAATTTTTATAAACTAAAAAATTTTAATTTGTGAAGAAATAAATATTCAATTAGGTAAATTATGTTTATTAAATTATAGGTGATAAACTGATTTTTTTCTTTTTTCTTCTGATGATGAACTCTTTCCATAATGGCATCGTGTAATAAATATGTTTATGGGATTGCTATGTATAAGCCCCTGTGCTATTTACTATAGAAAGTATAATGATGAACCGGAATACTGTTCTTCCTAATGAATAAGGGAAGATGGGGGCAAAACTAAGTTTATTACCAGTGAGAAATTAGAGTCGATATCATTTCTCAGAGAGCTATAGGGGCCTATGAAGCAGAGAGATCTTAAACTAGTTCATGGGCTATTCATGGGTAAAGGTACATCATGCTCTTGACAGTTTACTGGAACGTGGTATCACATTGCTAATTCATCTATCACCGTGCATGGTCTGGAGTTAATACCTGCATATAAATTCCAGATCTCCCATCCAGTGTCCTCATTTATCAAGTAAGAATGAAAGTAGTACCTGACTCTTAGTGTTGCTAGAAAGCTCACATGAGATAATTCTCTCTGTGACAGCAAACTCTCCCTGAGTGAAAACAGAATTAGTAGGCTGGCCATGGAGGGTTCAAGAAAGGAGAATCTTTAAGGAAGCAAGGACAAAGGTGGGGCAGAAAGGCATGTGAACCAGAAAGAGAAACCCCAAACCAAACACATTTCAGTCAAGTTGATTCCAACTCATAGCGACCGTATGGGATGGGGACACCGTTTCTGAGTTCAGCGGTGCCAGTGGTAGATCACGATAAAAGAGATGAGGACCGATCACGGGATGTGATGTTCTAGTCTGAGTCAACATATTTATTTCTTCTTCTGGACAGTGTAATATAAGATACAATAATAATTTATAAATTATCAAGGGTGCATGGGGGAGAGGGCAGGAGGAAGGGAGGGGGAGGGGAAAAAAGGAAAATGAGCTGATTCCGGGAACCCAAGAGGAAAGCGAATTTTGGGAATAATGAGGGCAACAAATGTATAGATGTGCTTTACACAATTGATCTATGTATTGTGATGAATTGTATGAGCCCCAATAAATTGATTTTTAAAAACCAACACAAACAAAAATAATAATAATGATAGTACTAGTGCTGATATCTCAAAGAGACTTCAAGGAGAAGGAAAGGGGGGTAGATAAAATGATGAATCTGTTTGATAATTTAAGAATTTAAAATCTGCATTATTTATTCACATGAGTTCAGATTTTACAATAATTACACTGGTCAGGGAAGTCTATAATCAGAGTTTATGTTTATCAGTTCAAAGGCAATTTTGGAACACATTAATATCATTGTTCTGAGATTTCTGAGATAAACTTTAGGATTTAACAGAAATCAAGCTTGCACTATGAAGAGATTATTTCTTATTTATGGACTCTAAACAGAAGATTTTAATCCAGAAAATGGACATTGAAAATCTAGGCAACTATCTGATGTGTCCCCAAACTTATAAATACAAAAAAAAGCTTAGAATAAAATTAAATCAAGGTAAAGGGTTTCAAATCCTTAAGATAGATAACTACACAAATTATGTTCAATCACCTTTTAATAATGGGAAAAGGAATGGTTTCCAAGATGGTGAATCTTGATAGGAATAGACATCCTTAACTTTCTCCTGCATGTGGACTGTAAAGGATTTGTACAACTCGCTTCATGTTCAGCCTTCCAAGTTCCTGTGTGATCTTAGGGGAGTCATTTTTCTCGGCTGCGAGAGCATCGCCTTAATGGGAATGGACTGGATTCAGTAGTGCGCGTATTTCTGGATCCTGGAGAATCAGAGCAGCCATCTGCATTGTATTTGGTATATAGTATGCTATAATTCCATCCATATCATCATTTTATAAAATTTAATTTAGTAAAAGAACCTCTCTAAGTCCCAAATGAAAACCACAAAGTAACCTTTTAAAATATTAAAATTTTCCATGTCTGATCTTATAAAGTTGGAGTGATTTTTTATTGCTCATTTTTCCAAACAATAATTGATTCATATGTTATAATTTTATTTTCTTGATGGTTGTAAGCAAAACTTAAAGCACAATCAAGATTTATACCTGTTCTTTGAACTCTTGATTCACCGAGGCAGTAGCTCAACCAGTCAAAATACTGAGTTCAATTTCATCTTCTGTACAACTGATTCACATCATAGCAACATAAATGAGAGACTGCATACAAGTAAAAGCTACTCTAAAATATGGTTTCATATGTGCATCTTCCCAATGTATTTAATTTAAATTAAACAGAACAATACATTGAAAGAAGCCCTGAAAAGAGTTTCTTCAAATGTAGACAAATTTGGACCTATAACCAGATAATACAGCCTTTTTCTCCAAGCTCGCCCACAAATGTACAGAATTTCTGATATTTAAACAGTGCCTCTATCTTTGGAAAAATATATACATGTAGGTTTTATGCTCCATTTTAGAATTACTTTTGATGACACAAGTAATTAATAAATATATTATCCTTTCAAACAGTTTTTAAAAATCATCAATACAGTTTTCTCCCTTATCATCTGTTCAGATGTAACAGTACACATTTAAAATGTGAAGCGTTCATGGGTATCTCCTGAGACATAAGTATTGTTTTAGACATATTGATTAACTTTGCACCAAGTTTCTGGATATAAGGAAGCTAATTTATGAACACTGACACATAAGAATCTCTTCCTTTTATGACTCACACCCAAGTGCTATTAGTTAAGTGCTGCTGGTTTTCTGGGAAAATATAGCTATTATTCAGAGAATCATACTGCACCAAAAAACAAACCGAAACAAAAAACACCTAAGTAGATTCCATGTCTGGTGTTGATTGATAATGGAATGATGCAACAAAAATAATGAGTTTTGTCATGACCCAATGATATTTGTCTTAGTTTAGATTTCATCCACTTATAATTGATATGCATTATAATTTCTCTCCAGAGTCAATGACAATGTCTGTTTTGAGATCCTGGATTTTATCCAAGGATATAACTGGTCTTGAAGTCCTTGCCTTAGAAATATTAGAGAGTTGTAAGTGATGATATGTGCATGTGTCACCCACTCGTTGATAGTTTGGTTGAAAATATAATCAGAATAAGGGCAAACGTCTT